TAATCAATGGTTATTCATAATTGATGAAGATGTGATGGTGATCCATCGTTCATTTGCAGTGAAATTCTTATTTTTTCTCCAGAACACGTTCCTGAAAGGTGGCTATTACAAGTATGTTCTGGGTGATAAAGTTGTCGTATTGGCGTTGAATACCAATCTTTACTACCGTTTCAATCGTGCAATTCCGAACTTCACAAATCCAGATGACCCGGCAGATCAATTCCAATTCATGATCGATACATTGAAGGATGCTCGCACTAAGCAGCTTTCCGTTCATGTTATTGCGCACATTGCTCCTGGAGGTAATGAGTTGGTATTCTGAAATGTAATTGAATTCACAAAATTGCACGCTCTCCAAAATCTTATGGTAATGCAGTTATGAATTGGATTGATAGATTAATGATTAGGCTGTGGGAATTTTAAACTTATCGAGAAGATGCATTCTCTTTTGTAGCATCCGAACGTACACCAAATTCCACGTGGATGATACCAAAATATAACCAGCGATTCATCGACGATAGAGTATGCAGATACGATCAAGTCGATGATTTTCGGACATCATCACACAGATACGTTCCATATTGTCAAAGTTTATCTTTCATCACGTTAATGTGTGAGCTGATGAGAGCGATTCCGTTTTGAGAGATTGTACAACACTCGAATATTGCAATCTTTTTTCAAATTATCTTTTGTTCTTCAGGATCCTAAATCTGGTCGTGCGGTTCAAGTTTACCTAATGGCGCCAGCCATAACGCCGTGGTTCAATCCGTTTGAGGGTGCTGGCTCTAACAATCCAGCGTTCAGAATTTACGATTACGACGAGGGAAACCAGCGACTGATAGATGCAAAGTATGTCTACCTAGCGTAGCAACTACCAGCCTTTCATTCTGATCCATCCAGTATTTTATTGACTGGAATAATTTCAGAACCTATTATGTGAACTTAACCAAACTGAACAGATCGCCTCATAATCAAACGAAATGGGAGTTGGAATACTCGATGGCGAAAACGTATCAAATTGGTTAGTGAAGATTACATTTTCACATTGGATCAAGCAGATTTCAAATGCTCCACTTTGGTATCTTTAACTGTAATGATTCATTGAGCCGACTATATCGAGAATGCTAACGATAAGTAATAGTTCCACTGATAAGCTAGTCACTCGTGTTGGTATCGCTGAAATTTGATCGATGCCAACTGAAGCTCGGTTATATTGTCGTGTATAATTACTTAGTATTATATCCAAAGCAATTTCAATGGTTGCAGATGGTATAACCCCAGAGAATATGTATAGTGTCTTGAAGAAGTTGAAGACAGGAGGTGATGCTTTCAAGAGCTATATCGAGTACAATTCAGTCCGTTGGAACGTTTCGATTCCTGAAGGAGAATTCCTGTGAGTTTCCAGCATCTTTGTAACAGTTATCTAGTCCGGATTTGAATGGGGAAAGAAAACATTGTCACGGCATCGAGTACAGCTTCACCTGTTCTCTGAAGTTGTAAATGCGAGTTCTATAGACTGTATATTCGAGAGCAGTGATCTGATCAGTACGTTCTAATCAGACATGGGTGTATTGTTGGTTTTCAGGAAGGCTCAGTTGTGTTCCATCGAATTTCCAGATTTTACTGGTTATGACCAGTGTATGGGGAGCTCCGGGCCTTCTTCAAAGTCGCCAGGTTCCCTGTCGACTTCAACCAAATCCGGGCCTTCTTCAAAGTCGCCAGGTTCCGTACCGGCTTCAACCAAATCTGTTTACCTACTCATCGCTCTGTGCTCTCTGATCAAATTCAGTTTCGATAAAAATATGTGAATGTGTTTCTGTTCAGCTGTTTATTCTGAACATAAATGTATAGAATTGTTGATTTTTCAAAGAACATCATAAAACAACTGTATTCCGCCTATTTTCATGTGTTCTTTTGACATAAAACAACCGTACTCCAATTGTCTTCTTGTGTTCTTATGAAGGTTTAAAAAGTAGTTTATAGTTGTAATTTATAAAATAAAAACTGCTGTTCTGTTCGCGTGATCTGTGATTGTTCTTTAATTCAACTGGCTATGCTAGTGATCAGTTGCACTGAAACAATATGACAATTCCAAAGAGTCACCTATTGTTGGCTAATAAGTTAAAGAGGCAAATATTGTAACTGTTTTCAAAAGAATCAATTTCGGCAAGCGTTTTGGTAATCATCAACGTAAAATATGATATTGGTTGCCGTAGTTCGATTGAGCGAGGGCAGCTAATTTAAGTGAAACCATAGTCACATAAGTTTCTATATGTTTAGATGGTGATCAAAAGGAATTCTTTGCTGGTCCCATCAAACTTCAAAAGTTTTCGCTTTGCCCTCAGAAACACTCAGATGAAATTTTGACTGAATGGATGAACTGAATTTTGAAATAAATGCAAATAAGTTAATTCCAATTCAACATCAAGGAGTAGAAGTAATCCAGTAATCGTCACTTTTCGTAGGTGCTTCATGTTAGGTGGTTCGCCTTCGGCCTATCACCGTCTTTTTTGTGTATGTTTTATGGGTAGCTTCATTAAACTTGGTTCTGGATAAGGGTATGCGATTGATGTACTGCTTTCATATCGTATGTAAATTTGGTTGAAATGGCGATGGTGGTATGGCCTATCTGAGGATGTCATAACCATTTGACAGTATCATGACAGTTTGAAGATTTTGCATATTCCACAAACTGTAAGGCAACATGGGCGTGAATTGTAATATTTGCTTAAGATGTTGAAATTCTGACTCCTTAGCTTGGTTGAGAAGGAGTGGTTTTGGGTGTTTCCTTTTTTGGTTCTGGGTGAAACACAAATGTTGATTACTTTTTTTTTCAGAATTATTTCAATGAAGAATTCTAAAGTATTTTCTCGAGTTGGAGAAATTGCTATGAACACAATTCATTGTCAGCGATTCACGTCAAGGAGAAGGTACCAGATCTTTTACCGAAAAATGTTCATCGGAGCAGTGCAACGAACACATTAATATAATACGTTGTATTTATTACATTCAAACATCCTAATCTAACCGTTCGGCTTTATGAGTTCATCGAAA